TGTTTTGTTTATTGTGATTTGTATTATAAGGGCTTTTGTCCTTAGTTATTTTTGTTCCTTTGTTAATAGCATCTACTCCAGCATCCTCTACACCTAACCCTTGGGAGTTCCTCCTAATGGTCGATTGTTGGGAAAACTAGCTTCTTTGGTCTAAATGGGGATGATAATTCCTCCAACTCTAATTATCATGATGTCATTTTGGGTGCCTTTTCTTTAAAAGAATAGGCTTTCTCTTTTGTTTCATCATTTGTTAAAGGTTTCCTAAGAATTTTCATTTTTGTTGAGAATGTTGTAAAGTTAGGATCTCCCTTTCAATTTAGTTTGGTTGAATATTTTCCATCAGTAAACCTAATCTTGATTAGATCCAATTATTTTTGGGTAACTTGAATTTTTTGTGAGGATTGCTTGTTGGTCTATTAGATGCTAGGAATGTTGGGATTCAACTCTCAAATTATTTAGATTATAGTCAAATTATTTTTAGGAGATTCTTCTATATAATGACTATCAAATGATATTATTAAAATAGACTCCTTTATTTGATATTCAGGAAGAATCAACTATTATACTAAGTTGTCTTGCTTTCCCAAATTTATGATTACATTTTTTAATCCTCATGTTCTTTATGATTTTTGTTTGATCTTTGGTAGACTGTTGCAAACTGTTCAAGCTACTGCCTCTAGGTCAAGGCCTTCAATAGCAAGGATATTCGTTGAAATGAATATTACAAAGAAGCACCCAAAAAAGATTTGGCTTGGTCCTCAAATGTCAAGTAAATTACATAAAGTTAAACCTAAGAATATTCTGGATTACTATATCCATTCTAAAATCCATGTCCATTCTATTAATAAATATTTTATGGTTCATCCCCATCTAAAATGGAATACTAAGGCTTTGAAAATTGAGGAGGAATTGTAGAATGGGGAGAAGAATGAACAGGGTGGTGATGCTTTGTCTCATTTGATTCCCAGTGCTTGTGTGCTTCTGTGCATGGCTGATGACATGGAAACTATACCTTTTGAAAATTCCAGGTAGGAAATGGTGATGATAAATGATGTAAATGATTTAGATAAACTTGATGAGATTATGGAGCCTATGGATGATATGATATTTAATAGTTCTGTTGTTATTTTATTAGGTGGGAAATTTAATGTTGGTGTGATTAATTGTGTTAATTTAGTTGGGTTGAATGACTCTTCCCCATATGATGATATGGCTATGGATGTGGGGTGTTATGTTGGTGATCAACCTCAATCCCAATTTTAGTGTGGTCTAAATTAGAAATCCTCTTTGATTTCTTAATCTACCATAAATTCTAGTAAGGATGTATTGTTGGATGATAAGGGGAATGATACTTCGTATAATTTGCGTGAGGATGCTACGGAGGAGGGTGAGATTGTGCCTCAATCTACTAATTATTTTGTGGCTCAAAAAACAATGGTCCATATAGATATAATTAAGGTTTTTATGTCATCACCTACTAATTGGCATTATCCATAATAAAGTTACTAAGAATTTGGATGATAGGTTTACTAAGGTTACTAAAAAGAAAAAACAAAAATAACAAGAACCCTGTTGCTTATACCCCACGGGTTACTAAAGTTTTAAATGCTTTAAAATTTAAATAATGTTACTTGTTAAGGATTTCATTTGGAAAATCACGGGTGCGGGTGGCAATATTTCTAGGGATAGTGTGAGAAATTTATATAGGATTCATGATATTTTTGTTATTGTTTTAAAAGAGTTTTTAATTTTGCCTTCTAATTTACATTTGACTAGTAAAAAGCTGGGTTTTGGTTTGGTTTTAGCTAATTTTTCCAATACAATTTGGACTTTTTTGGAATTTGCTTGTTATGTTGGGATTATCTTTTATTTTCCTCTTACTATTCACATGCATACTGATTTTCACCAGTTTTCATGTTTTGCCTTTTTTGTTTATGTTTATTATTCAAGGTTGAGTGGAAAAAATCTTTGGAAGTAATTATCTTCTTTTTTTCTTGTACTAATTCTCCTCGGATGGTTTATGTTTATTTTAATACAATTTCTAATTCAGCCAAAAGATTTGGGGGTAATTCTCCAAACTTCTATACTATGGAAAACTTTAACAATATGATGAAAATGCAATTTACATGATATTGGCTTTTTAAGATTACTTTTCCCTTGAATAAATTAACCATGTGGCAAAGGCTTGATTGTATTCTCTTTAATGATCTATGGAATGTAACTTATCATATGACTCACACTGAGCACTTCACTAGAACCTTATATGATCAATCACTTTTCTTTTAGGTATTACTCTACAAAAGTTTCCTACCCCCTTTTTTTTACATTTCAAAATATGCGGCTTCTTGATGAATCCTTTTTTTCAATCTATTTAAAGTAATTGGCATGCTCCATTATTTCTTGTTAATAATATCGATGATATAAGTAGATTGTGGTTTAAGCTTAAAAGACTAAAATAAAAGCTGAACTAGTCAAAAATATTGCTTTTAAGAATATTTTTTCTAATATACTATAAAATAAAAATCAAGTAGCTATTTCTAAGAACAATTATATCAATGATTCATTTTTTAAGAATCTTACTATGTTCGATGAAGCAAAGGTGATTTTGTTCAAACTTAAGCAAAAAGAAAATACCTTTCTTAGGCAATTGCCTTCTTCTAAGTTCTTGGTGGAAGGTGAGAAGAACACTAAATTCTTTCAAAATATTGCTAATCAGAAAAGTTTGCTGTTCAAACTCATAAAATTTCTAATTTGAATGGCATTTCTATTAAATTTCCTGATCTGATTCGTGCTTCTAAGGTTGAGTGATTTCAAAATGTTTTCAATAAATATTTTAATCATGATATAAATTTGGATCAATTTTAATTCCTTCTTTAATTTATAAGGAGGATAACTTATTCCTTACTTGTGCTCTTTAGAGCAGGAGACATGGGTTGCCCTTAAAAGTATGAACTTAGAGTATGTGGTAGGACGAGATGGCTTCACCACCAAATTTTTTTAGAAATGTTGGACCATTATTAAAGGAGACTTAGTGGAAACTTTGAACGATTTTTTTAAGAGTTATTCTTACCCCAAAATTTTCACTTATACTACTATAGCTTTGGTGCCTAAAAAAGAAGCCATTATGTTTTGGGATGACCTCAACCCTATTAACCTTTTGTTTCTTTTTTAATAAACATATTGTTAAGCTTGTTATGAGGACATGGGCCTCCTTTTTTTATTTAAAATCATTTCTCTAGGCAAATAGTTTTGTTAAGGGCCAATTTATTTGTGATAATGTTCTTCTTGCTTAAGAGATCATTCAAGATCTTTATTCTACTATTACTTATGGGAATATAATTTTTAAAATTGATATTACTAAAGGTTATGGAAAATTGAATTGGAATTTCCTTTATAGGATATTAAATTTATTTGGTTTCAATATTGATTTCAACAAGCTCATAAAAATAGTGTTAATAATTGATTCTTTTCTGTTATTATTAATAACAAGAGTCATGACTATTTTAAGTCATCACATGGTCTTAGGCCAGGGGATCCTCTATCTCCTGCCCTTTTTATTATTGCCTTGGAATATCTTTCTAGCTGGTAGGATAAGTTTTATAGAAACTATCCTAATTTGTAGCTTTATACCATGGGTGGTTTTCCTATTTCGCATATGAGTTTTACTGATGATGTTTTTTCTTTAAATGGTTCCATTAAAATTTTAATCATTCATTTTAAATTTATGAATTAGTTTCAAAGGTTAAGTATTTAACTTGTTAACTAAGAAAAAAGCTATTTTATAACTACCATGACTATTACTAAGTAGAGAATCTCCATTATTCATAATAAATTTAGGTTTTCTCAAAATTCTTTACCTTTAAAATATTTAGGGAATCTTCTCTATATTTTAATACTAAATTTAAATGCTATAGTGCTTAATAAGCAAACACCATGGCACTGAAATCCCTAATGATGTAATGCTTGTTCAAATTTAGGTCCATAAAGTTTGCTCAAAAAATCATTTATAATTAGTCAAAATCAAAATTTATGACTTAACTAATAATTCATAAGACTTTTTTTTTTAATTCTAAAAAAAACCAAACACATTAAAAAAAACTCACAATCAAACTAACATAACATTTTAAAACATTTAATAGAATAGGGTTGCCTCTCAAATAGAGCTAAATTTATATTCTATAACCAAACTTCTCTAGATTTATCAATTTGGTTATGATACATCACTGCAACTCCTCAAGTGGTATACACTATGATCCTTGCCTTTCTCCTTATGATGGAATTTGGTATTTCTTGGCAATGATCCAAGAGATCTGCTACTAGAGGAGATTGTAAGTTATCTTACTTTATTTTTCAAGTTTTTGTTTGAAGTAGCTTGACTTTTCATTTTAGTTCAAATTGAATCACTACCTCCTCAAAATGTAACTTCCTATCTAAAAAATTATTATTTTTATTAAAACCTTGGGGATGAAAAGGTCTAGGATTTACTATATATTGCTAAGGATTATTCTAATTTCACCCTTGATTAGATTGACTTCCACTCCACTAACTATTACCACCAATATTATTATTTGGCCAACTAAATTTTGTGTGGTTCCTCCAACCAAGATTATAAGTATTAGAATAGAGATTATTTTAAATTTCAAATTAAATTTACCTACTCTATCCCTTGTTCATTAATATCACCAATTGAATTCAAATCATGCTCTTCTAGTTGCATAGATGATCACCAAATTAACTCTAATAATATTTAAATTTAGAGATTGCATATATCTGAGCGAAAATAATAGACAAACCATTTGGTTCATAAAATCCTCTTGCTATCTTCAGATTCACCTTATCAAAAGGCCACATGAAATTATTTGTAGAAATCTCTTCAATTAGTTTATAGGCTTCCTCAAATGGCTTATACATTAAAGATCCTCGAGTTGCTACATCTATAATTGACCTATGGGTTCCTAACAATCTATTATAAAAGGTCTAATTAACCAATCAATTGAGTAAAGTGTGATGAGGGCATTTTTTAAGTATTCCTTAAATCTCTATCAACATTCATATAAAAACTCTCCTCAAATTGAGCAAAAGATATGATATCATTTCTTAGCTTATAGATTTTGGAAGTTAGGAAATACTTAGCTAAGAATTTGTGTGCTAACTCATTCCAAGTTGTTATAGAGCTTGGGGGCAAAGAATTTAACCATATCTTACCTTTATCTCTTAGAGAAAATGAAAATAAATGAAGCCTAAAAGCATCTTCACTGACACCATCATAGTTGAATGTTGCACAAATTTCTAAAAATCTAGCTAAGTGTAGTTTGGGATCCTAAGAATAGTTCCTCCAAACTAGTAATTTTGTACCATCTAAATAATGGATTTTATTTCAAATTTATTTGCATGGATAGTGGATCAATTGATATTCTGGTGAATTCCATCTGCTATAAGATTATGATACTCTCTAAGAGCTCTAGATTTGTCCTAATCTTATACCAGTTCAGACATCTATAAAGTTTTTTTTTTTCTTCTTCTAATTTTTGTAACACTCCTTTCAATTTCAAAATAAAATAATAAGGGCACTCTACTAAATCTACAACATAAGAAATAATATTTTTTCAAAAATTAAAGAAGAAAAACTAAGCAAGCAGCTTTTTTTTCTTTTTCAAGCCTTTAATAAAAATGAAAAATATAGATATTGGATATAAGTAGGTCTAAATATGCAACTAATTTAGTAGTACAGTTTAAATTTCAACTATGCATGTTACTTCCCCAACAATAGTGGTGAAAACTTGATGGGGGTTTATGTAGACTGCTGAATAACAAACAACATTCATGAAATAAAATATGTCTTTGGTTCAATTAATACTTATGTTTTATTTGATATAAAATTTCCTAATAGATATACAAGTATAAGTGTTGATCAAGCGATAAAGTGATTGAGCAAGTCGATCCCATGATGAAGTGTTATATTAGATTACAATCAACTAGTGCTTTCTACAAAAGATGTAAGGTTTATCCACTTATAGAGAATATAATAAATTATAATATCTAAATATATAAAATACATTTTTGACTAATGCTTGTAAATAATAAGTTTTCCAATTGAGATTCTTTAATATTTATATGGATCACAACATATGCTTCCCAAGATATATGTAGAGCTTATAAGGGTGATAATGGAGGTTTATGGCCTTCATAAATTTTGAATCTCTCCATAGAACTTAGAAGGTTAAACATCTTATATCTAAGTATACCTACATTTCATTCCAATACTCCTATTTGTTAAAATATTTTTCTATCAAGGTAATATATTACTCTAAATATTAACTACACAAATGGCCATTATCTTACAGTTCCCAAGCCTTCTTTAGACTTTACTCTAAGGGGACACTAAATAACTATACCAAAAAATTATAGGACTCTACTACAAAATGAGAAAACTCCTCGAACAAAAGAATTAAAAATAATTTATAGTAAATGCAAAAATGACCTCAGGCACAACGACATTTAAGTTGGTGGCGCCACAGTATTATGAGATAAACTAACACCTTGGAACTACCATGCTTTCGCTGCTATGGTGTTGCATTTACTCAGCGTGTCTCATGTCTTAATTGATGTGTTGCATGTCTAATTCAATGCAATTCCATCTTGTATTAACTACTCTGCCACTACGTTGAAAAGTTTTAACACAATAGTGCTTTAATGTGAAATCTGGCACTATGGAATTTTAATGCCTGGCACTTTAAAGGTTAAATTCCTGAGAATCAAGTGCACTGGTGTAGAATCTGGAAGTTCTAGTGCTATGAAGCATTACGGTGCTACTGAGATTTGGAGTTATAATGCTGCAATGTTATAGAACACTACATTGATAACTTTGACTCTACTATGGTATTGAATTATTTGACATTTTTCCAAGGATTCTACACTGTGAGTCCCTAATCAATGATTGAGGTGTTGTTGATGTCATGGCACTAGTAGTTGGAGTGCTATAATACTAGTTCAATAATTATGAATTTTATCCTTTTCCTAATCAATTCTCTAATAACATCAATAAATACACCACATGTTTACCATACTTAAAGGTAAGAAATAGTAATAAATTTACACTTAAAAACCTATATCAAAATCAACAATAAGAAATGTATTTTGGAGTTCACCATGGGAGGTGGGTCAGTGGTTCTTGATGGGGGTTGTGGTATAACCTAATGAATTATGAAATGATTTATGGCTCTATGAATCCCTAAGAATGCTTACATTTTCTTTGATATAAAAATTATAAAAATACCACTTATTATATGCAAGTATACATGTTGAATCAAGTAATATAGTCATAGAATATAATATAGATCCCATGAGAAAGATATGATCAGTTGCAAACACTAGCAAATTATAATAATTAGCCTACACAATAAAAATAAATGTTGTATAGATTTGATCACTTAAAAAAAGTAGAAAAGGATAATGAATACACTAAATGGATATAATATTTTGAATTGATGAATTTAAATAACATATTTGTCTTAATGATTCTCTTTTAATTATAATTCTATTTCGAGCATATGTTTTCCTATTTCTCAATCAAGCTTGTATGAATAAATGATATGCATCAATTTTCTATATTTAAATAATCTAATTAAGAATATTGTTCATTTCATACTCCATGTGTAAGTAAGATGCATTCTAATTCAATATTCCTAGTTTTTCTTGCTTCCCTCCATTGAGGCCCAACATTACACCTAATTTTAATTACAAATATGCCCACTGCATGCATTAAATTAGGTTATGGTAATATTGAAAATATATTTTTACTCATTTAAGTATTAAGAGAACTCATTAGTATTATATATGATATTTACTTCATTAATACAAAACTAGATAATTTTGCCAGACATGGAGCAGAATTAAAGTAAACTTATTTTTCATTGATAGCAAGATAGAAAGAAGATATAAGAGATAGATATCATCAGAATTGTTCAATGGATCTCCTCTACCCTCCTTACTTTACTTATAGATTTACATCCACAAACACAAGCCAAACACTATAATGATGGTATCATATAATTATCTGAATTCCTTAAATTATCACCCTAAGTGAAATTAAGATAAGCACTCTAAATTATACTGAAATTATCTAAGTGACTGAATTCCCCTATAAACATAACATAATGATTATTTATTGGAAAAAATAAAGTAGGCATCTGGCACTACAGGGCTTGTAAGATTGGCTCCATTGTGCCAAACATATGAACAAATGCCACAGTGCTACTTTTTTAGTTTTACCATGGTTTTTGCTAATGTGGATAAATTATTTTCCATGAACGTACAGTCACATTATTTTGCTGATAGATCATGTCCTTAGGAAGTTATAACTGCTTTTCCATGAACGTTTTGGTGTTGGAAGAGTAATTTTATAGCTGAGGCATTATAGAGTGTGCCACTGAAGTGTTGTACGACTGAGAACATGTTGCAGCAAAGCTAAAATTTTGACACTATAGCATTGTCCAATACAAAAGTTAGCACTACAATGTTGATATTTTGGCACGTCGGAGCTGTCTTTGATGGCACTGAAGAATAGTTTGTTCTGACATCGCGGTGCTATATGAAACTTAGAATTTGATTCTTTTTCTATATTTATCTTGCACAATATAACTAAAAAAATACATTTTCACTAAGAAAATATAACACATAAAATAACATATTATTTATTCTTATCAAATTTTCCCCAGCTTAAACTCTTACTTATCCTCATGAAAATAAATATATGATAATTTTGATTAAATGATTAACCAAAATAAAATTTGATATTTTAAAAATTACTAAAATATATGATAATACATTAGGGTCTAAAATTTATAAAAATAAATATGATTAAAATTATAGTTTAGGAAAAATACTAATAAATATGCTAACCAATCATCTTTTTTATTGTGTAATTTGATTTATAGGTTATAGATTAAATTATTATTATTTTTTTTAATTTTAAAGAAAATAATATAGCATAATTTTTAGACATCTTTATAGTTAAAATTGAAATTTTATTAGTTCACCTTTATTTTTATTGGTTTTCTTATTTTATCCTTTATGAATTTAAGTATAGGATTGAAATCAAATTCTAAGCTTTTATTGATACCAATTTTTTAATGTTCTCATCCTTTTTCTTTCCTCTATTTCTTTTTTTTTTCTTAGAACTATTTTCACTATTCTTTTCTCTTTAATTATGGATTACATATTTATGTATTTTGAATATCACTTTTTGCATCAGACCCTTTTTTTAATCCTAATGAGTTTTATATAAGGATAATTCCTTCACGGATTTGTTTAAAAAGAATTGGGAGGCTCCTTTGCATCTTGACAATGATAGTTTTTTTTTTTTTTTAAAGACATGCATATATAAATTTATTATAAAGAAAGAAGAAAAAGATACAAGCACCTAGGTGATTGCTCCCCAATCTCATTCCTCCTTTATCAATGAAATAAAGGAACGGGGAATAATATTACAAGTAATGTTATCCCAAAAAATCTAAAGAAAGAGCTTGGTTAGCATAAACATCGGCTAACTTATTACAATTCCTATTCTCACAACTAAATAACACTTGGCTAAATTCTTTTATAAATTAGAACTCTTCCATCTTCAAAAAAATCTTCTTTTTATGTTCCTTTATTCATCAAATTTTGTACAAGCTTGATAACATTAGAGTTATCACCTTCTATAATGATTCCTTTAGCTTCAAACATCCTTTCTTGAAGATATTCTCTCAAAGAAAGAATAGAAAATAGTTCAAGCTGTGAATTGTCCCAATGCAATGAGCTAAAACTAAAAGTACATAGGAATGTACCTTTGTGATCTCTGAAAACACCCCCTATACCAACTTTATATGAGCCAACCAAATATGCATCTATATTGAGCTTTATCCATTCAGAAGGAGGTGGACACCAAGAAGAATTCAATAGCTGATTTAGCATATTGACATCAAATTTTTCCAAAGGAAGAAAACTTTTAAAATAAGCAATAGCCAAACTCAAAGCATTAGTTGCAATGAAACCAGCACAATCTTCTGATCCTCCATGTATTAACATGTTTATATTTTTCCAATTGAAAAACACCATAGAATA